AATGAAAAAAACTGCTAAATAGATTCAAAATTTTGTCCCGAATTTAAAAATACCCTGTGTTTATGTGCTTTTTTGCTTTTATAGGGCTATAGGTACAAGTAGGATATTGCGGTTTCAAAACATACATTTTTAAAATTTAGCAATAGTGACATTGTAACACTATTATCTGTCATAGATCCGCACATGTACATATTTTTTTAACGTAGACAACCCAGGGTATTCAATATGGGGTATGTCCAGTCTTTTTTAGTAGCCACTTAGTCGAAAAGACTGGCCAAAGTTAGCATTCATATTTGTTTGTGTGTGAAAAAAATAAAAAAATAAATTGAACGCTAATTTTGGCCAGTGTTTGTGACTAAGTGGTTACTAAAAAAGACTGGATATACCCCATTTGCAATACCTTGGGTTGTCTTCTTTTGCAAATGGGATGCCATCATGGGGGTAATTCTCATTACTGGGCTACCATACGCTCTCAAAGGCAACGTAACCAACCTGGCCATTTTCAATGTAAAACTATTTGACCCATATATTTAACCCTGTAACTTTCATAAATGCTATAAAACCTGTACATGGGGGGTACTGTTTTACAACAATTATATCATCAGTAAATGTGCTGTTTGTGTGTGCAAAATGCAAAAAACTTCACTTTCACTGACAATATCATCGCTGTGATATATTTTACTGTTTTGAATCACTAATATTTGTGTTCAGTGAAGTCTCCCGAGTAAAACAGTACCCCCCATGTACAAGTTTTAGGGTGTCGTAGAACGTTACAGGGTAAATACAGTGCTAGCAAATTAAATTCTCTGGACTTCCGGCCTGGGTTGGCAGGCAGGTCCCTCAAACTGCAATCAATAAAATTATTTAATTATGTAAAAATATTACAATTCTACACACGTAGAATTTAAATATATATGCATATTTGTATATTTGAAGTCTACGTGTATATTTATATAATTAAATAATAACACAGGTATGTCAAAAGAAGTGATATTTGCTCATATACACCAGTGAGGTATCCCCTACACCTTCACATAAAGTAACATACAAAACACAAAGAAATAGGTGGAGCAAATGGTGATAATGAAAGAAATAAAAATAAAATTAATACTTCTCTTTCTTCTAAATTTAAGAATGGAAGAGCCATATAATATAACCTGGCTCTGGTGTGGATTTCCTCTGGGATCTTAATTAGGTGATCCCCAGACCTCTTTGATGTTTGTTGTAGTCAGTCTCCCCTCAGTGATGAACCATGGAAGGTATTTTCCAAAGCAAAGAATATTTATTCAAAAAAAGGTAAATAAATAAAAATGAGTAATAGTAATACAATAAATAAAACCTTGTAATGTCCAATATGCTTGCCAAAACGCGTTTCGCCAACTGAGGAAGCCACATCGGCGAAACGCGTTTTGGCAAGCATATTGGACATTACAAGGTTTTATTTATTGTATTACTATTACTCATTTTTATTTATTTACCTTTTTTTGAATAAATATTCTTTGCTTTGGAAAATACCTTCCATGGTTCATCACTGAGGGGAGACTGACTACAACAAACATCAAAGAGGTCTGGGGATCACCTAATTAAGATCCCAGAGGAAATCCACACCAGAGCCAGGTTATATTATATGGCTCTTCCATTCTTAAATTTAGAAGAAAGAGAAGTATTCATTTTATTTTTATTTCTTTCATTATCACCATTTGCTCCACCTATTTCTTTGTGTTTTGTATATTTATATAATTATTTATGTACTTTTGTATATGGACATATGTATATTTCGTATTATTTTTATTGATTTATTTATATATACATAGATATATGTACAAATACATTCTAATTGTATTTTGATATAAATATATATATATATATATATATATATATATTAATATCAAAATACAGTTAGAATAAAATTTCATATAGATATATAATTTTTTTAAATTTCCATTATTATTTGAAAAAAATTTAATTTAATTAAAATTACTTATTAGTTATATTTTATAATAATATATATATATATACATATATATACGTGTGTAATTTAATTTTAAGTGTATTTTTATATTAATATAAGTACATATTAATATAAAAATACACTTAGTATGACATTATATATATGATATATAGACATATATTATATAAATATAATATATGTCTATATATCATATATACACATATATAATTATTTTATTTTTTTTAATTAACACTAACTTTATTTTATTTTTTGATTTTACACATGCAGGGAGACTGCCTGTCAGCACAGGCAGTCCCCCTGCAGGCAGACACATGGACACCTATTGTGACCATGTGATCGCTCTGTTGAGTGATCACATGGCCACAGGGGTCCTAATTCAGTGTGGGGAGACTGTCTGGGCTGCAGGCAGTCTCCCCATAATGGGAGCAACGCTGATCGCCGCCGGGGGAACGACGGCGATCAGGTAAGTACCTAGGACCGTTAGGACGGTTCAGGACCATCACCAGTCGGCAATGGGAAAATGCCGATGACGGTCCTGAACCGTCCGCGGTCCTTAAGGGGTTAAGAGAGTGCTCCTAATCTCAGCTCGTTACCTGTATAAAAGACACCTGGGAGCCAGAAATCTTGCTGATTGATAGGGGATCAAATACTTATTTCACTCATTGACATGCAAATCAATTTATAACTTTTTTTGACATGCGTTTTTCTGGATTTTTTGTTTTTGTTTTTCTGCCTCTCACTGTTAAAATACACCTACCATTAAAATTATAGACTGATCTTTTTTTTGTCAGTGGGCAAACATTCAAAATCAGCAGGGGATCAAATACTTTTTTCCCTCAATTTAGATGTGGCGGATAAGGAAGTTGGCAGATGAGGTAGTTCAGGTTTAGGGGATGAGAGTTTTAGATTTAGTTGAATGAAGTGAGAACAGCTCCGCTTATCTAGGCAACTATGATATCTATATCCTGCGTTTCTTCTTCATTTGATGTGGGGAGTTATCTCTTGTTTCACACTTGGTAGATAAAAGAATATTTTCACTTGAAATGTGTGCAATCATGTTAACCACAATCAACTTGGCCAATATATGCTGTTGGGTCATCTTATCATATGTCTCTTAAAAATGACCAAATGATGCATGAATGCATTGTGGAGTACGATGGCGTATATGTTGGAATAAAAGGATTATCCACTTGAACATATCATTATTGGCGTATCTTGGGTTCTGGATTTTTCCTCTTTGGTCCCATGGCAGGTAGGTACATAATCAAATTCCCATGTCTTAGACATCTACATTACATCTAATCTTAACTCCAAGCTTAGTTCCCAGACCAACCACTCACATATTTTCTACTACTCATCCAGTTTTTATAATTTTTATGATCAATAACACCACAGTCAATTGCCACGTGCCTTTAAAAAGAAAAAAGAAAAAAGGTTTACTAAAGGAATATTGAGTTTGCACAATTTCCAAAGACGAAGGTATAAAAAACAGCCTTTAAACTTGCAAAGCAAACTAACTACTAGACTTGTGCACATGGAAAAATTTGTTTCGGCCACACTACTTAATCTGAAAATAAAAAAAATTAAAATTGGGATGGCAGAATTTCGTGAATGTGAATATTCGGCTCTTTAGAATTTTGTCTGCCAAAAAAATTCAGGGAAACAAATCAGATCAGCCCAAGGGGCACAAAAATGGGCCAATCAGCAGAGGTGCACTTTCCCCCTATTTGGGATACAGGTCAAGTAAGAAAATGGAATCAATAGAGGGGAAAAAAGAGAAGCATTAAAAAAAATTAAAATCTGTATTTATATATTTATTATTTTTATTTATATTTATTTATATATTATATTTTTTGTGTGTCCTGATGAAAGCTCTGATCGAAAGCTGAAACGTTGACCTGAATTAACTATCAATAAAGAAGGAATCTTTGGAAAGCCTGGAGTGGCTTTTATTTTTTAATATTTATAATATATAAATATAGATTTTTTTTCACTACTTTTTTCCTAACATTTAGTCACTTATCACTCATTCTGTAAATGAAGAAGCATTTAGTGACTGTAACCAAGCTATCGATCATCTCTCTTTTTCTTACGCCATGGGTGGAACTCCAAATCAAGAACCCTTATTCATTGCGTGAGTCCTTTGCTTTGTTTGCAAATTGGGAATTCAGATGATCACCGATTGGTCCAAATTTGGATGAAATGCAGTTCGTAACTAAACAAATGAGTCTACTAACTACTGAATCTAGAGACAAGCAATAATTCATTTGGATAAAGTGAAAGGAATGATGACATTGTCTTCTGCTAAATTAGGCTAGAGATGTTAAAGAATTAAAACGGTTTTGAACAATGCAGAATGAATAAGAAGAAAACGTAGAGCATATTTTTATCTAACTTTAGGAGTCGAGTTATTGTGAAAACATAAAATGTTTGTTCGTGTTTGTAATAATTTCAGGCATTTTTGACATTTTTGTGCCACTAAAATGGTTAATTTATTAACCAGCAAGATTGTTGTGGGAGCAATAACGATTAAGGAGATGGGAGAGAGAGAAAGAAGAGAGAGGCAGAGAGAGAGAGGAAAAGACATGAGAGAGACAGAGTGAGACAGTCAAAAAATTAGTTAAAGAGATGGATAGATACCAACAGAGAGGGTGTAGAGAGGGGTAGGGAAGAGGCAGAAGGAGAGAGAGAGAGGGAGTGAGAGAGAGGGAGAGAGATAGGGGGAGAAAGAGGGAGGAGAGAGAGAGGGAGAGAGAGAGTGAGAGAGGGGGAGAGAGAGGGGGAGAAGGTGGTTTCATGTAATAGGTTTCATTGTGTTCAGTGTCACTTTACAGATAACAACTAAATACTATTGTTACCTTAAAGAGTTAACAGAATGAAGTGCCGTAGAAGAGAATCCACAGTGAGGGACTCCCTCTTCTAGCTCTGATGTTGCAGGAGAGGGTGTAAGGGGAGGGTCGCCTCTTAGTAATTGGTTAAAGCTCTTCCATGTGTTAAATTAGCATAAAGAGACGCCGCTCCCAAAGTAGCCACTTGGGGGCCAAAGCTAACTGTGCGTCACAGCCTTTGGAGGAAAGAAAGTGAAGGACCCAAGAAGCATGCAACTCAATTTGTGCAAATGGCATCACAAGGGGAAGGCATGGACGTCTGGCTGAAGGGGAGATCTACCCAATGGTTCAATCACAGCCAGCTATGAATCTCTAATAATAAAATAAAGCACCGCTATTGCCAGCACTAATTAAAACACTGTCTGGGTTCAGGCTGAGAACGTCGTTTTTGCAGGAACAGCTGGAAGAGAACCAGATGTGAGTGAGGATGGTTCCTGTGGACTGACACGGACCCCGAACCGAGGAAATAGATAGAAAAGTGAGTGGAACGCTGTGATTGCCTGCGCTTTCTGCGCTCTGCCCTCCGCTACAGCCGGGACAGGAGGACATGTGGCTCGGGGTTCTATGCATTGAGACTATGAGAAGCAGGCAGCTTGGGCTTTAATTTCTGGGTGAATAGTGGGAGGCTATAACAAATTAATTCAATACAATTAAACCGGATCTTATAGCCGCTTTAAAAATGCAGCCAGTGGTCATTTAGTACATTTGTGAATACAGAGTAATGTATCGCTTGCATTTATTACGATTTAGTATTTTTTAGAAGAATAGTATAATAATTCGACTTTTGTTCTGTTTCATTTTGTTTTAGGATGGGTTACTATATCACCGTTATTACTACTACTAATATATTTCTATATAGAAGAGGTTTTAGTTATGTAGAATTTGGAAGAGAGGTGTACAATGTAACTCTTATTTATCATTGTACTCAGTAGTGTCTGCATGCTGATTAGAAAGATGTTTGTTGCAGAGATTGGTGGTTACTGATGATGATTTTGATGGCTGTATGTTCTTCTCTAGGGTCCATCCAGCAAGGAGTGGTTGCCTGCAATAAGTCCTACCTGATGTCACCGCTGCTATCCTGAGCCCCGAGTTGAAGACAGAGGGAACCATCTCCCGGGTTTGATTTTTGAGACTTAGCTGGGACATAGCTGAATAAGGATACCATGGATTCAGAGGAGAAACCCAAGCTAGCCAAGTCGGCGGTGGAGAAACTGTCTGATGCCGTGGGTGAAAAAACCAAGCAGCTGGGCACGGCCATGAAGGAGGTCCACCACCAGAGGAGACTCATCTTGTTCATCGTTTGTGTTGCACTTTTCCTTGATAACATGCTTTATATGGTGATAGTCCCAATTATCCCAGATTACATTTTGAGTATGAGACTGCATGATGAGGCGCACAGGCACATCAACACCAGCAGCTCCTACTCTAACAAGTCCATTATCAAGCCCAGCTACCCGGTGGAGAATGAAGATATGAAGATCGGGGTCCTCTTTGCCTCCAAAGCCATCCTCCAGCTTCTGGTGAACCCTCTGAGTGGGACGTTCATAGACAGGGTGGGCTACGACATCCCTCTGTTCATCGGACTGGTGGTCATGTTCCTCTCCACCGTCATCTTTGCTTTTGCCGAGAACTATGCCACCTTGTTTGTGGCCAGGAGTCTCCAGGGCTTGGGCTCAGCCTTCGCAGACACCTCTGGGATCGCCATGATCGCAGACAAGTACACAGAGGAGGCAGAAAGGAGCAGAGCCCTGGGTATAGCCTTGGCATTCATCTCCTTCGGGAGCCTGGTGGCACCCCCGTTTGGAGGTATATTATACCAGTTTGTAGGCAAGGAAATGCCCTTCCTGGTTCTAGCGTCCATTTCCCTCCTGGACGGTATTCTGCTGCTGATAGTTATTAAACCCTTTGCCAACCGGACTAGAGAGAACATGCCAGTTGGCACACCCATCCACAGACTTATGATTGACCCTTACATTGCAGTGGTTGCAGGGGCACTGACTACCTGTAACATTCCCCTGGCTTTTCTGGAGCCCACCATAGCCAACTGGATGAAGACCACTATGGGTGCCTCTGAGTGGCAAATGGGACTAACGTGGCTCCCAGCCTTCTTCCCCCACGTCCTTGGTGTGTATCTAACAGTGAAGCTGGCTTCTAGCTACCCTCACTACCAATGGTTTTATGGGGCCATAGGGATGGTGATCATAGGTGCCAGTTCCTGCACAGTGCCAGCCTGTAAGAATTTTGGAGAACTTATTGTCCCACTGTGCGGTATCTGCTTTGGCATAGCCCTGGTGGACACTGCTCTCCTGCCCACCCTTGCCTTACTGGTAGACCTCCGCCATGTATCAGTGTATGGAAGTGTGTATGCCATAGCTGACATATCCTACTCGGTGGCATATGCCCTAGGGCCTATTGTTGCCAGTCAGATTGTCCATACCACGGGTTTCACCCAACTCAACCTGGGCATGGGTCTTGCCAACGTTCTCTATGCACCTGCTCTTCTGCTCCTCAGAAATGTATGCCAAATGAAACCTTCCCATTCAGAGAGAAACATATTGTTAGATGAAGAACCCAAGGGGCTCTATGACACTATTAAAATGGAAGAGCGTAAAGCTAAGTCTCATAGAGGCAAAAGCGAGGCTCAAGGAAATAGCATGGACAATTACCACGAAGGGCAGGCAGGTAAATACATGTCTGGTGAGGACTCGTCTGATTATGACTATAGTTAAATATTAAGGTCATGCTAAGGTTAAGTGGGCTTTAATGAGACATCCAGCCATCTGTTTATGCACCAAGTGGCAATTTACAAATTATACAATTCTCATGATAATCACCAGGCTTTCTGTAAACCTATTTTTATGATATCTTGTTTTTCTGGAAAAGTTTAAAAACTATCACAAATCTATCTATATCTATAAAAAATGTAATTAAAAAAATAATAATTATAATAAAAAAATTAACACTCCCAAAGGAATATATTCGTGACTACAGACTCATAATCCTTCAAAGATTAGGTGCAGTATTTGTTTAAAAAAAAAATGTCTTTTTTTTATGTCACACTCAATGTGAAATACTGACTTTCTGTATAAATATAATTTAAAAAAATAATACAATCACACGTTACATGGAGTGAATAAAGTTACATATTCAGGGAAATAAAGCTAATAAATATTGTAAATAGTTATATTTTGTGATTTGACCTCATGGACCTTTAAAATGAAGCATTGTATTATTTTGTTCCAGATCAAAATTTTTGGTGTGTTTTTTATTTTCAGTCATTACATGAATGGAATGTTTAACCCACTTTTACCACCACGAGCTGAATAAATAAATAAAACCGTTTGAAATAAATATTGTGATATTTTGTTTTATTCAATTATGGTTGTTTTAAGCTATTATGGTCCACGCTGATAAATGAATTATATATTGTGAAAATGACTTTGTACTTGGAGAATCAGATCATGTTTTCAGATGAACCAGAAATGAACATTTTACAGGAATACTTTAATATAAACTAGAATTTTGAAGATGATTACAGAGCATCTAACACACGTGATTTTGATTATTTAACAGGTTACAATCGTTCTACCTGTTACTTTAAAAGTATAAGAACACAGTCCTGGAAAACAAGGGGTTAAACACTGTATTTTATATTAGTAAAGCTTCCTATGACAAACGACTGGACTCTCTAGAGAAAAAAATGACAGGTTACATACAAGCCAGTTATTCTGTGTCTCTGCCTTTCTTTAATAATCCATTTTAACTTTTATACAAGGATACATCATTTGACTTGTTCTTGATGGCCCCACTCCCCAATTTTTGATTACATTGGAAAATAAAGGCTCTCTATCAATAACAGCATAATGTACAATGTCCATCAAACTTCCTAAGAAGATGACTGCTTTCAAAGGCGATCCAGGCAAACCATTAATCACCCTCTTCTTCTCCTCCATAGACCTATCACAGCTCAGTAGGTCACAGTACAGTTTGCAGACACCAAGACACAGCCAGAGGTACTAGACTTATTCGATACAATTTGAGTTTGAAAAT